GGTTATCAATATAGAAATATCAAGACCTCTTCTTCTAAATTGAGAGTCTTAGAAGGTACAACTTTTTCGTTATGTAATTTTAAACTAATTAAATTATGTAAAATTTGAAATATTTCGCTTTCTTCGAATTTCATCATTTACGATGCAACAATGAATGAGTGAGCTTTCATTTATAATAAACTTTTTCGTTGCTTCCTTTCTTTTTCGCTTCATTTTTTCTCATAACTCTGTAAATTTAATTAATTAATAACAGCTCTTCAAGGGAAAGTTAGCATTTTTTCTTTTTTTATTTTCCTGCAAATTACACTGAAATTCGTCAAAATATTTATTCTCAGTAATTTTTAAAAAATTAAATTTTCATATTAAACATTTCCGTTTATTATCGTTATTTCATCGTTCCTTTATTTTTTTTTTTGCTTCTCTTTTGGTTTTTAATTTTTCTTTTACAGTTTCAGAAGAATATTCATTCCTCAATTCAATATGGCTATGAGAACAATCGATGCTTAAAATGCCGTACGTCCCAATGGAATTTTACAAACCAATAAGAAAATCCAAAAATTGTGACAAACTTTTAAAATCAGATGCATACATTCACTAAATTGAAGTAAACATTAGGAGTGATTAGCTAATTTAGCTTGTATGATTGTCGGTCGGTCGGTAGATGGGATTGAAAAATTTAGCATTTTTCTAATGAGGAAAATTTCTTTTCCGCTAAAAATGTCAAAAACGGAAAAATTGTCATTCCTTTCATTTGCCATAATTAGTATTGAAAATTTCAAATAAAACCTTTTAAGCATTGGATGAACTATGATCATTAATTTCCTATATTCTTAATTATGTAAAGTTGAACAAAAAATATGAAAAAAAAAGAACGAGTTGCTAAAAAGCTTAAAAATTTACCGGAAATTTACATTTTATTTTAATGAGCAAGAAAGTTTCATGTTTATGATTAATTGTTTATGCAAATTTTTACACTCATATCTTTTTAATTATTGTCATTTATTACTTAATGACTTACTTTTGCTCCATTTCATTTATTGTTTGTTTTGTTTCCTAGGTATTAGTTTGGTGCATTAATGCGAAAATTTTCATAATGACTGTAAGTGAAAATTTAAAACAAACAAGAATTATTCCACTTAAATTGCTTATTTCACGTTAGCTAAATTAGCAGCACCTTAAAAATAATTTATTCATTCAACAAAAAAAAACGTTGTCCGTTTTTATTTCCATCGGTGATTACTGACGAAAAAACAAAATCGAATTTTCCCGTTCTCGACATCATACCAACCCACCTATATTATCATTGCTAATCAATGATTTTACTAATTAATTATTTAATTATTTAGTTCAAATATCTTCTCAAATATTTTTTCTGTCCAATAAAAAATTTAATATTGATGAATAATATTAGGTTCAAATATCAATGCTTAACATTTTAAATTGAATTTTATAATCTTCTACTTTGTTATTAATATTTAAACCAATTTCTAATTGACTTCCAATAATTCAAAACTTCTAATTTCAAATTCTCTGATTCATTTAATTTTTATTCAGCTTTAAATTTTAAATTTTAATCTGAAGAGGTTGGTTCATCGAATGAACAAACTAAAATTTATCTAAAAATCATGAAAAAACACTGAAATCTTCTAATAAAAACATTCCATAACAGCGGCAGCAACAACAACAACAACAAAAATTCACATCACATTATTTGACAACATTTTTATTATTTAAAAAAGTAAAACAAGATTTGCAAAAGTCTTACTTAAATGCTAAAATGTATAATATTAAAATATAAATATGAATATGAAAGTATGTAAAAAACAAATTTCACAAAAACATTAAATTTTTTATAAAATTAAGTCTAATAGAATTTTATATGCTCATCGATTGAATTCGTCTTAACGCGCATAAAGAATATTTTTGCATAATTATACTTGTATTTTAATATCGTACATTGATAATTAATTATGCATAAAATAATGTTAAAAATTTTAAATCCTCCCTTACTTCTCATATTTTTGGACAAAAAAAATTTTATTTTTTTGAAATTTAAATAAGTCTCATATAGATAAAAATGTATATATGAAGTAATAACAAGTCGTCCCAAAGGATTATGATAAGTTAAAATAATGATCTGAATTAGAAAGGTTAGGAAGGGTGAATGAAAGTATGAATTTTAGTAATCCTCAAAGGGTAGTATGAATTTTAGAAGTGAAACGGTGAAATGTTTCAAATACTTGACCTCCAGTGAACTCTTTATCCATACCTGACCTCTCGTGAATCCTTTATCCCTTCTTTTCCTTTTTTCATCACTTTTTACCTTTTTTATATGACACTAAAACTGCAAATTACCATCATTGTTTTAGCTAGTAAAATTTGTAAATTTTAGAATAAAATTTGAAGCCATGATAGATTGAAGTGTGCTGCACACCTGGCCTATTTCGAGATTTCATTTCTTCTATTAATTATTTTTTTTAATGCACCTGCTAATTAATCGGATAATGTTTGTATGTGTTTGAAATGTAATCATAAATAAATGTAATCATTACTTATTTTATGTAAATTTACAACTTTTTGTTAATAAAAAATGAAAGGCTAAAAAAATTATCAAACAAAAAAAGAATTTTCGCTATAAAAATTAATTTACTATATGGAGTAAGCTTAATTTTAGAAAAAAATTTGATAAAATTATTTTTCTATAACTTTAGAAATTTTTATCGAATGTTTATAACTTCCCCATTTCATTGCCGTTTTTCGATTTTTCTCTTTTAGTTTTATTAAATTTAAAAAGAGATTTAAATCATTGAATACATTTATAGATTGTATATTTGCGCACTTATTTGTCTGTTTCAAATTTTATAACCGTTAAATTGAATTTTATATGATATCTTATGATCACTTTGGTCTTCAAATTTTTAATGTTTGATTTTTTTATTTGAGAGGTTATTTTATTTAATAAGTTCATATTTGTGTGAAATTAGTAATACGATGGGATGGGATTTTTTTGCATGCGCAAAAATGTGATATTGAAATTTGTAAAATATTGATAAATAAATAATGTATATAATTACTTCATAATTAAAATCAGTACAAAAATTCAAAAAAAAAAAGAGAAAACTGTAATAGAATGAAAAAAAAAATTGTTTTTGAGCACTTAAAAGTAAATCAAATAATCTTAAAAGGAAACGGATAAAATGTTGCTTGAAAAATTGAGAAACCAATGGGTACCGTTAAATTTCACTTCCGGAAAATGCTCTTTATTCTTCCTTAACATTTTCTTAATAGACTAGAAAAAAAAAAAATTTGACGTCAAGATTTTAAATTCAAGTACCTCGATTTATTTCTTACCAAAGAACTACTCTTTTAGACTTATTCGTCACCGAATTTCCTTCATTCTTTTTTTCCCCCTCCTCCTCGCCCCTCTCTCAAAAAAATCGTTTCATCACTTCCAGCTATCTAAGTTTAGGATCATTTTCTTTCCTGCATCTTACCCGAATTTTTTTTTTTTTCAATCAAAAGAAAAAAAAATTAAAATGGATTTAGATTTGCAATTACACCGGAATTATTGATGTCAATCGATATCATAGTTAAAAATTTTAAAGTTAAAAATATCATAGTTAAAGCTAAAAATTTTTTAATCACTGTAAAAATATCATTCCTCCATTCCATTCCAATATTTTTTTAATCAAAAAAAAAGAGATAAAACAAATTTATATTTAAAATTATATCAAAATTATTAATACCGTAAGTTAAGTTGAAATTTTTTAAAATCACTTTAAAAATATGTTCTCAGTAAAAAAAAAAAAAAGTGAATATTTTACAGAGTTAGGTTAATAGAAACACCATCATCATCATCATCATGGTGATAGAGCCATTATCCTTCCCATTTCTTTATTTCACAAAATAGGCGTGGTTAATTATCTATCAAAGCCAAAAGGATATGACATACAATTTACACTTAGCTATCAACGAACACGGTTAGCTTTTAGTTCAACTTTCCAATATCGTCCAATTTTTTTATCAATAATTTTCACACTAATTATATTTATTTGAAGAATAATTCATCGAGATTAATTAATAATTTTTATTAATATTTTATTTTTAATGAATCAATTTTTATATTGCTTGTTGTTGTTGTTGTTGTTGTTGTTGTTTTTGCCACTAAGCTCTAATTATTATTATTATCACTTCTCGGTAATTAATTTGCATATATTTGACAAAAAAAAGAAACAAAAAAGAAAAATGAAATATTATTTTATTGAAATATTTTCAGGAATATCGTTTGTTTGTTTTTTGTTTTCCATTTTTTCCAACGATCGAATTATTCGTCGGATGATTTCTAGCCTTTCAAAATATCTTCTTTAAATTAATTGTTTACGAAAAGAAAAGAAAAAAGAAAAGAAAACACAGAAATCATTGATTCATCCTCAACAACAACAACAACAACAACAACAACAATAACAGTCACACTACCTCTGCTTATTTTACAAATTTTCAAAGATTCCTTTGAATTTTTCAATTTATTAACGAAATAACAGAAGTGCTATAATTTTCTGATATTTGGATTGATGGATTTTTACATAATTATGTTTGCTGCCTGGTCATTAATCGCTGAAAATTTTGTAACAACAATTGACGATAGTGATTATGAATATTTGGATAATGATTTTGACAAGAATCAAAAACCGGCTGATGTCTTTTGGGGTGATGTTTTGGAGGATGAACAAACGGAAGAGCAGAATGATTCATCCGGTGAAAAGAGCATCATAAAACAACGAAAATGTAGTACCGAAACGACTATCATGGATAAATTATTGAATGGTACCGGCTATAGCAAATATCGTCTTCCCTGTAAGTATACCAATTTAGCATTTCATTTTTTTTTTTCTCTTAAAATTACTTTTAAAATTTGAAGTTTTTATTTTGCCTAGATAGTATGTAAAAATCTTTTTAAGTTAATTGAAAATCATAATTATTCTATAATTTTATGGAAAAAAAATTAAGTGAGAAAATTTTGTTTGGAAAATTACTTTGCAGCAATTATTCTCGATAAGTGAGAAAAGGAGGAAACGTTTTTTCTTTGCAAAATTGTCTTTTAATGGCATTTTTTCAACTTCTAAATTATGATAATTAGCTAATGTACTCGACATTAAAAGTGCACATAATAAATGATGTCTGTTCTAATATATATATATATGCAATTTTTCTTCAAAAATTTTAAATACCATTTCAAATTCTTTGAATAAACTTCAAAGATTATTAGTTCACCTTTTAAAAAATTTAACTAAAAATTTTTTTTTCACAAAAAATAATTATTAGCGAAATTGGCAAGATTAGGCAAATTACACTAACATCAAATATTATGAGAAAGGGGAAGAAGAAGACAGGTAGATAGATAGATAGATAGATAGATAGAGAGAGAGATAGA